TATCACCAAATATCTAAACACACTCTCAATAAGGGTCTTAAAAGTAAAGGTCAGAACTTCATGTAAAATTCCCTACTCTGATGGCAACATTTTAAGAGGGTAAAAAGCTGAGTGAGGCCTTTCCTCTATGAGGCCTTTTCAAACATCATGGCCATAATGTAACTATAATTTGGCAGCTAGATGGGCTACAAACAGGGGGTCTCTGTCCAAGACCCCTACTTTATGAGATATAACATTAGCAAAAATATTCATGAGGTATTTTTAATCTTTTCATCTATAACTCAAGATAAAAATCTAACATGCACATTACTCATTTAAAGATTTTTATTACATCTTAGCTCTGTAGTTTTTTCTCATTGCACTAAATAAAACAAGATAATTTTCCTTTATATGCAAAATCAATCTACCAGTTCTGTTCTTTCTCTAAGTTCTATCTCCATCCTATCTCATATACTATCGCTAATACTATTCAGTCATTTTCATTAATTTTTTCCATTACCTTGAAATCATCATTACCCCAAATTCATATTGTAAGTCTGGCAACCCCCTCCACCATACTCCCAGTCCCTACTCTGTACCTTGCACTTCAACCCCTCCTTCAACAGAAACCAACCCGGTGATTCATCCGTTAATCGTAGCACTATGATACACCTAGACTACAGTAATGGCAATCATTTTTGGATATTTGATAATGGGAGGGGGATGCATTATATTTGGATGATTCTGTCTTAAATATATCTTCCAATTTATTATTTCTGTGCACCTTTCTATGAAAATAAATGGATTTAAAGTCTCCAGTAGGATTAGCTTTGCTTCCATAAAGGGGCTATATTTTGAGAGGCAGACCGCAGGTGTTAAAGGATATAGGAAAGTTTAATAGCATCAAAAGTTTTTTTCTTTAAAAAAGAATTATCTTGCTATACCATGGATGAACATTGAAAACATCATACAAAAGGCCACATATTCTGAGATTCCATTTATATGACACATCCAGATTAGGCAAATCTATAGAGACAGAAAGTAGAGTAGTGGTTGTCAGGCCTGGAAGGAGACAGAGAATGAGGAGTGACTGACTGCTCATTCTCTTTTGGGTGTGATGAAAATGTTCTAAACTTAGTAATAGTAGCACAACTCTTTTGGGTGTGATGAAAATGTTCTAAACTTAGTAATAGTAGCACAACTCTCTAAATATACTAAAACCACAGAACTGTATACACTTTAAAAGGGTGAATTTGAAAGTATGTGAATTATAACTCAATAAAGTTGTTAAGAAAAAACTCTTACCTGATTTCAGGAAACTCTGGTCCCAACTACATGTTCATGATTCTAACAAACTAAAGACTTGACCTCTAAGACCTTTATTCAGCTTAGGATGCCCTCCTCTACTTCTTTACCTTTTCCCTACTCCAACTTTTAAGATAGTCTACTTCATCTTTAAAACTAACTGGTGATGACCTTTTCACGAAGATAGCCTGGAAAGTGAAGAAGGAAGTCCCTGCCCCTCCCAAAGCTGAAGCCAGAATAAAGGCTTTGAAGGCAAAGGAAGCAATGCTGAAAGGCGTCCACAGCCATAAAAAAAAAAGAAGATACGCATGTCACCTGCCTTCTGACAGCCCAAGACACTGCAGCTCTGAAGGCAACCCAAATATCCTTGGAAGAGCACCCCCTGGAGAAACAAGCTTGACCACTATGCTATTGTCAAGTTCCCCCTGACTACTGAGTCAGCCATGAAGAAGATAGAAGACAACAATACACTTATGTTCATTGTGGATGTCAAGGCCAATAAGCACCAGATCAAACAGGCTGTGAAGAAGCTCCATGACATTGACATGGCCAAAGTCAACACCCTGATCAGGCCTGATGGAGAGAAGAAGGCATATGTTCGGCTGGCTCTTGACTATGATGCTTTGAGTGTTGCCAACAAAATTGAGATCATCTAAACTGAGTCCAGCTGGTTGATTCTAAATATAAAAATCTTTCATTGTAAAAAAAAAACAAAACAAAACTGGTGATGGATGTTTACTACATTTATTGAGGTGATCGTTTTTGTAATATGTACAAATATCAAATCATTTTGCTTAGCACCTGAAACTAAAAATATGTGTCAATTAAACCTCAATTCAAAAGATAAATTAGAAAAAAACAAACAAACTTCTAACTGGAATATTTGTTTCCTTCTTGGTAAAGCTTTTCTTGACATCCTTACTCCCCCAGGCAGGAGTACCTGCTCTCTCAGCACTTAACATATAAATGACTAAAACATTTTTAATGCTATTAGAGTGCCCTATTTATGTCTCTGTTTCTCACACTAGACTGTGAGCTCATCTCATTAACTTCTGTATTCAGTTAATCCCACAGTGCCTTGCTATCAAATTTTCAAAAGATGTTCAGTAATTCTCTTTTAAAAAACAGCATTTATATAATAACATATTCCATAAGCAACATATAAAATGATACTGTCACATAGTTGAATCTTTTGCAACTCCAATGTTGATGCAAGAGAACAGTCTAGATAAGAATAAATTGGGCATTCTTGAGTTGCTAAAATAAGATGGGAAATTTCTACATGGGATGCAGAATTTTGTATTTTTATTACTGAACATCTGTAAATACATTGGATTTGAATATATAAATCAAAACACTGCCTTTACATAGATAATATGTATTTTTTGATATACATATTTATTTGCATAGACACATTTTTCACAGTAATGTAAAATAATGTAGGTAGGACAATGATTTCTGTTGTTACGAGGTCCTCCGGTGAGCATTATCTTAGAACATAGGACCATTTCGAGTTTTTTAAGAAAAATAACGATCTTTTTCTAAGACAAGGGCTGCAAATTCCAATACCTATTAGGATCATCAACTGAAGGGCATCATCCAAATGGAGAACATCATCTTCAGAATACTTTTGGGCAAGAAACTAACAACAGTGTTTGTCTCCAGAAAGGAAACTGAGTGGTAAGGGACAGGTGTAGAAGATTTCCATTCTACTCAGAATATTTTTTATAACTTTAATTTTATATCAAGTGCATTATTTATCTATCCAATTCGCTTTGTGGCACCAGATAACAATCACTATTAAGGAATGCAGGCCTGGGGTTGATGGATCTGATTTTTCAAAGAAGTTATAAATGGGAAAATTCTGATTTCTATGTAAAACTCAATTAAAAAATATTGGCTTTATTCACAATTTAACACATAGGGCAGGCCAAACAAAACACACCTGCAAGCAATATCATCAGGCTCATAGGTCAACCAATTTACTATCTCTAATCAAAAATTTGATGTGTGGCTTATGATTCCAGAACTATAAATTTAATGGAAGAAAACTTCAAAAAAGAAAACTCAGACTTGTGGATAAAACCATGCCCCATCTTGCCCCACCATCTATTTAGTCACTATTGCTTTCAAACTTCCGGGGTCTTTTAAAAGGCTATTAATGTTTGACAGACCAAAATTCAAAACAAGCCAGGTTTCATCAAGGAATGTGCCCATTATCCTAACATCTGCTCTGTTCTAAAGAGTGAAATATGAGGTCAATTTCAAGTTGCGATTCTTCTAGCCAACTAAAGAGAAGTATTTGAATTATTTATAGCTGGGTGGAAAAATTCCTCCAACCAATTAGTCAAATGACTGTATAGTTGAAAAGACCTATAAGTTATTTTTCCCTTATCATCAGGAAGTACAGTGCTGATCAAAATACAAAATGGTGGCCATGATCAACATAATATTCTGAATCCTCTCTGGGAACTTAGTCATAGATAAGGAGAAAATCTGAAAGTCTCTTAAAGTCCTGCAGAAATGCCATTCATTTACCCAAACTGAAACTAAGAGATTCTATGTGGGTCTAATTACCGGTCATTGTGGAAGATTTCATCTGTTGAATGCCCAGAGGGCACCAAAGCCAAAACAAATTAAAAAAGAACCAGTTTCAGTTCTAAATCTAGCACTAGTGATGCACTGCCGTGTTTCTTTGGTGTACCTAAAAATCTCACTCCAGTCTGCTGAAATCTTCAAAGGATTTCATTCTGGTATTTCTACATGGTTTTCCTATACTCAGTGCTAGCTCCAATCTTCCAAACAGCAGCCTTTCATCACCAGATGGTCCAGTATTAGGCCTGACCATCCACTCACTAAGCAGTGGGGTCTCCCCTAATGGTGAGACTATACAACTCCAGGCAGGGATGGGGGTGAGGAGATAATCAATGAATTAGACTATAGGACTAATGGCAACTTTGCAGGACACAGGCATTCAAGGTTTTCCTTATGTAGCTTGTGGAAAAGCTACAATAGGCCACATTTTTCCTAAGAGCTTTTTCACCCAGGTAAATGAAGGGAAAGCTCTTGATTTAATCTCATTTAATCGCATTCACTCATTCTGAAGAACTGTCCACTTTGCCAAGAGACCTGAATAGCTCCACACCATACATAGTGTACTATTTTCTAAGAACAGCGAGCATATGGAAAAATAAAATGATAATCCCAGTCTTTACAAATAAACACGATTATAGTGACCCAGGAAATTAAGATCTGTAAAATACTATAATTGACAAGCAAAACATAAGTCTCTTAGGTTGTAACTGAAGGAGCTATTTCATGATGGGGTTCAGTGCCCTAAGAAGACTGATCAAATTATGAAATAAAAGCCAGAAATGTTTTCTCTGAAGAAATGGCCAGAGTCCAATGTCTTCCCTGACTTGCATTTTGATGTACAGACATTAGAGCCAACTCTCCAATGGCCATAGGTATACTGTTCTTCAGTAAGAAATGGAGGTGCTTGGAAATCAATAACCTATACTTCCTTTATCATCAGTTTTGTGCGTTAGGTACATACTATACAATAACCTGCACATATCAGCATTGAGCAGTTGTAGGAGGTTTGTTCTAAGGAAAAAAATCATAATTAACTGCTTCTTTACCTCTTCATCAATTTGAATATCAAATAGGTTTTAAACACATCAGCTCTCAGTACATAAAGCATGTTTTATTCTTACCTCAGCAGCTTGGGTCTCTTGATGCAGCAATGTAAGACCGGTCAAGTCTTCTAAGAAGGAATGTGAAGAATTAAACACCTTCGCTAGGAAATTAAATCCTTCTCGTTCATATTGATCAAGAACCTGTAAAACATTTATATTTTTTAAAAGGAGGCTGTAGGTTTTAAATGCATATTAAATATAAGGATAATCAATCTGTTGGGCAATAAACCGGGAAGGCTTAGTATTTTACCACTCTTTTCTTTCTTGAAAGAATGACAACATTATCTTCCAATTCGGATAACAATTTTTCTCAAATAAAATAAGTTACATGCAAATTCACTAAAAATTCTAGTAGAGCTGGGGTTACTGATTTTAAAGTTCGTATTTTAGTAAAGAAAAATAGGTAAGAGCCAAGAAAAAACTCTTACAAGGATAAAGGGAAAGGAAGGGCCAAAAGGATGGGAAATGTGACCTACTGGCTGGCCAAGCGTATTTTTAAAAATAATTTTAAAATGTAAAACTAAATTTTGCCAGGCACATCATAAAATAAGAGACCCAAATGACCAATAAATGAATGAAAAGTTGCTCAGTATTACAAGTGATCAGGGAAACAAAAAGTAAACCATAATGAAGTGCTACTTTAGACCTATCAGCATGACTAAAGTGGAAAAGAAAGAAAATACCAAGTACTAGCAAGTACGTGGAACAATCAAGGTTCTCATGAGAATTCAAAATGAGACAACAACTTTAGAGGTTTAACATGTATATGCCCTATGATCAAGCAATTCTACTTCTGGATATATACGCCCAATAAAAAATGTATACGTATATATTGGAAGACCCAAATAAAAGGGTCCATAGCAGCCCTATTCATGATAGCTCCCAACTAGAAACTATTCAAGTGTCCATCAATAGTAGAATGAACAAACTGTGGCTTATTCATATAGAGGAATACTATATAGCAAATGACAACTTCATGCAATATATGGGTAATTCTCAAAAACAATGTTAAACAAAAGGGAGAAGCAGTATGTACTATATGATTATTTTTATATAAAGTTAAAAAAACAAGCAAGATGAATCTAAGGTGTTAGAAGTCAAGAGAGTAGTTACCCATGGAGGGGTTGTAATTGAAAAGGGGCACAAAGGAGGGTCTGGAATGCTGGTAATATCTGCTTAAAAAAGCAGATATTAATATCTAGAAGCAGATATTAATATCTGGGTGCTGATTACAATGGTGTACTTTGTGAAAAATCATCAAGCACTTTTTTGTATATGTTATCCTTCGATAAAAAGAACAAAAGATAAAAGGCCAGTAATCTACACAAGAAAACAATATAGGAACATATGAGTATTTAGAAACAATCAAATAAATGATTATCACATTTAAGAATTCAGTGATCACAGGAACTGTGAACTATAGAAAGCAGTGAACCAAAATGTCTCAGAAATTCTCTCAGAATTCAGAATAAAGATATGTTTCAAAAAGATAGACACTGAAGATAAATTTAAGAAATCAATTACACACAAATAGAAAGGTTAGAGAAGCAATAACACAAAAAATAGAAAAAAATTTTTAAATAATTTTTCTCTATTCAGAAATGAAAATGTGTAAGCCCTTTAAACCAGCAATTCCACTTCGTACACAGTTTGAAGACTTTTTTTCAGGATTGAGGAATTGTGATTTTTTTTTCAATATTCTTTAAAAGTCAATTATCTTTACTTTAAAAGTGAACGTTTTAAAGAAAA